TATTGTTAATAGCAGTATTGAGAAACAAGGAAAATCACATTAAGAACATTACATGAATATAAACATCAACACTTTACATTTCATTTCTTTAGTTTCGAGGTTCGAAGGCATGTCTAAATTTGGGTTCTATGAAAATTACCACACTCTACACTCATTAGATTTTTCTCCTGCACCACCAGTTAGTCCGATTGCGTTAGCAAGATCTAAGTACTACTCTCCTGAAATAGGTATACTGCCATCAAGATTTTTCTCAGTCAAGACATTCATACTGCGAACGTCAGCTAAATCAGCAGTCATTTCAGTAATGCTATTTACAGAAAACTCTTTTTGAGGTGCGTGTGATTTCATATGTTTACGCAGATCACTGTCATCGGCATATCTCTTGTCACAAGAAAGACATGCAAAAGGTTTCTCTCCAGTATGGATACGGATATGTCTGCGCAAATTTTTTTTTGTCTTAAAAATCTTGTTGCACACGGTACATGCAATAGGGTTCTCGTTCGAACCATCGCTTGGCTGTGATTCAAGAGCCTCCTCCTTAGTGTGAGTTAAATAATGAGCACGCAGCTTACATTTCGTCACAAACGATTTCAAGCACATATAACACTTAAAAGGTTTTTCATTCGTATGCATTCGAAGATGTTTTTGGAGGGAACCATGCGAGGAAAACTTTTTATCGCACATAGTACAAGCAAAAGGCCTTTCACCTGTGTGAATTCGAAGATGAACACGCATAGAAATGTTTTGAGAAAATTTCTTGTGGCACACAGTACACTCGAATGGTTTCTCCCCTGTATGAACACGGTTGTGTGTGCGCAGATTTGCTGGGGACGAAAATGTCTTCTTGCAAATAGAACACTCAAAAGGCTTTTCTCCTGTGTGGCTACGAGTGTGCATGTCCAATGAAAACTTTGTCTGAAATTTACCGTTGCAAATAACACACTCAAAACTTTTGCCTTCAAGTCCTGCTTCCGTAGATATGTCGCTCTCAATAGTCAGGTCAGCACATTTAGAAGAGTTCTCTGCTGCGCCCTCTTTTGCTTCAATACCAGGGCTACACTGTTTCAGATCACCATCTGCGTGGGGTACAGGATGGTCACTCACAGCACTATTTTCTCCTGAGTGGCCACAAGTGTGCATTTCCAACAAGGACTTAGACTGAAATTTTCCGCTGCAAATACCACACTCAAAACTTTGGCATTCAAGGCCTGCTTCCGTAGAAATGTTTAGGTTGCTCTCAATAGTCTGGTCAGCACACTCAGAAGAGGTCTCTGCTGCGTTCTCTCTTGCTCCAATACCAGGGCTGCACTGCTCCAGATCACCATTTGCGGGGGATACAGGATGATGACTCACAGCACGATTTTTACCTGTGTGGCTACAAGTGTGTACTTCCAGTAAGGACTTCGACCGAAATTTCTTGTTGCAAATGTGACACTCAAAAAGGTTGCCTTCAAGTCCTACTTCAGTAGAAATGTTGAGGTCGGTCTCATTAGTCAAGTCAGCACTCTCAGAAGAGTTCTCTGCTGCGCCCTCTCTTGCTCCAATACCAGGGCTGCACTGCACCGGAACACCATTTGCGTGCGATACGAGATGGTCATTCACAGCACGCTTGTGGTAAAACTTCCGGTTGCAACATTCAAAATGCTTTTGCCCCTTGTGGTGTTTTTTAAGATGTCTATAAAGGCTGCTCATGTCCGAATATTGTTTATCGCACAGGTTACATTGGAACAATTTCTCTGTAGTGTGGGCTTTAAAATGATGGTCACGCAGTAGCACGTAATTTGAAAATGCCATTGGACAACCCGTACATTTCCAAGGTTTCTCATTGAAGTGGGTTCTGAGATGTATTTGCAAATCTGCATACATCTTGATGCACACAGCGCACGTAGATGGCATTTCACCAGAAAACATGCCACTTGTGTGGGAACCGACATGTACTTGCAAATCGGCGAATATTTTGATGCACACAGCACATTTAGGAGGCGACTCTCCATTACCTTCGGCTGTGCTCTCCAGCATATCACTGCCACCGACATGAGCACGATCACAACCGAATGGCTTCTTCACATCTACTCCATTTTGGGGGGCTACATCAAGTTTGCTCCCCATGTGATCATTTTCAGTGCAAAATTTGGCAGCCTCAGAAGGCGTTCCAACTGCGCCATTTGTTTTTAAATTAACATCACTGCAAGCGTCAGTACAATCAAGATTTTCCACAGTCGACACATTACTACCAGTATCAGGTAAATCAAGAGTCATGTCAGTATTGCTCTTCACAGAAAACTCGTTTTGACGTGCGTGTGATCTCATATGTTTACGCAGATCAGTGCTGTCCGCATACCTCTTGTCGCAAGTCAGGCACACAAAAGGTTTGTCTCCCGTATGGATACGCATATGTCTACGCAAATGGTTTTTTGTCGTGAATTTCCCGTTGCACACAGTACACTCAAAAGGCTTCGCTTTCGTAGCATCACTTGAGTGTGATTGAAGATGTGTACGGAGCTCAATATTTTTCCAAAACTTCTTGTCGCACAGAGAACACTCATACGGTTTGTCTCCTGTGTGATATATGAGATGAGTGCTCAATCCACTACTTGACGCAAGTTTCTTACCGCACACGGTACACTGAAAAAGTTTCTTTTCAGAGTGAACACGATTGTGCCTGAACAGATTTGCTTGCGACGAAAATGTCCTTTTGCAAACAGTGCACTCAAAAGGCTTTTCTCCTTTGTGGATACGAGTGTGTATTTCCAATACGGACTTTGACTGAAATTTATCGTTGCAAATACCACACTTAAAACTATTGCTTTCAAGTCCTGCTCCCGTAGAAATGTTTAGGTTGCTCTCAATAGTCTGGTCAGCACACTCAAAAGAGTTCTCTGCTGCGTTCTCTCTTGCTCCAATACCAGGGCTGCACTGCTCCGGATCACCATTTGCGTGGGATACAAGATGATCACTCACAGCACGACTATCCCCTGTGTGGCTACAAGTGTGCATTTCCAAGTAGGACTTTGACTGAAATTTGCCGTTGCAAATATTACACTCAAAACTTTTGCCTTCAAGTCCTACCATAGTCAAAATGTCAAAGTCGCTCTGCCTGTGATTTCGAAGATGAACTTGCAGTCCGCTTTTCCACGCAAATTTCTTCCGGCACACAGAACACTCAAATGGCTTCTCTCCAGTGTGAACACGGATGTGTCTTTCCAAAGCAGTTTTACTCAGACATTTCCTGTTGCAGGTCTTACAGGCAAAAGGTAATTCTTTTGTACTAGCATTACTCTCCGTCGGGTCCTTATTCTGCTCCTCGTGAGTTCGAATATGACAACGCAGAGTTTCTTCCCATCTGAAGCGCTTGTTACAAGTAGGACACTTAAAATTTCTTTTCCTCTTCACAGCATTGCTCTCGGCAGCGTCCTTTTCCGACGCTGTGTGGCGTTTAAGATGTTCCCGCAGGGAGTATATTGATACTAATTTCTTGTTGCAAATATGACACACTGCAGGCTCGTGACCAGCGTGCATGCGTTGGTGATCAATCAGACCTCGTTTTGTAGCAAACTTCTTGTTGCATGGAGTGCAGTCAAAAGGTTCGTTGCCTGTGTGTTTTTTGCGATGGTTGCGCAAACTTGCCTCCGTCGTATATTTTCTGTCGCAAGTTTCACACTGAAAAGACCTTTCATCTGAGTGGATCCGTTGATGCAATTCCAGGGAATCGCTGCTCACAAATTTCTTCTTGCAGAGGGTGCACTCAAAAGACTTGGAATGTGAATGGGCGCGGAAATGTTTGGAAAGATTAGCCTCGGATGAAAATTTCTTTCCACATTTACTACACTCAAAGGGCTTTTCTCCTGTGTGGATACGAACATGTGTACGCATATTTACTCTATGGGTAAATCTCCTATGACAAAACATACACTCGTAAGGCTTCTCTCCAGTGTGAGACCGAAAATGACTAACTAATTGTGGTTTTGTCGCAAATTTCATAGTGCAACCGGTACATTCAAAAGGCTTCTCTCCTGTATGGGTACGTAGGTGTTCAATAAGACGTTTACTAGTCTTAAATTTCTTGCTGCAAACCCTACAGTCGAAGTGGTTTTCTTCTGTGATGGTCCGGTAGTGGAACTGCAGTAGTGGTTCAGTCTCAAACTTCATGTTGCAACCAGTACATTCGAAATTGCCTTCAGTCTGGGTTCCGAGATTCATTTTCAAATCGGCAGAAGCTGGAGATTCCTCAGTATCCACACGATCTTCAATGTGCAACTTTTCACCTGTATCAAGCGTGCTCTTAGCTGCAGCATTATTACTCCGAACATCAGCACATATAACAGGTGAGTCTGCACGAGTGTCACGTGTGTTCCCCATCGGAACAACATCACTCCCAAATCCATTCCCGGCCGGGATGTAGGCCATAACAATGACCAGCAGTGCCTGAAAAAAAAAGAAACTGAGTTAGTCAATTGCAATCAGTAGAAATTTGTCTACAGCCTTAAACTACTGTTCTCCCAAGACGAACCCTCTACCTTACTTTAGATTGTTATGAATGCTGAGCAGTTCTAATCCCACAAAACAAAACTACTGCAATTAAAGTCTACCTAAACATTCGGTTTTCTCAATTTATGGCGCATAATTCCTTCTTGTTCCCTGACAAAATCGATAGCATAGCCTAGAATACGCTGAAAAACTTGGAATACTTGGTTTGCTATAGCAAAGTGGTGCGCACAGGTGCTTCTGACCACTCGATTGTCCAATGAGCCTGCAGTACATCCCGCTGTAGTGTAACTTTATCCCAGTACACACCCCCTTGCATCCCCCGGCTGGCCGGTCAGACCCGGGCGCAGCGCAGCCTCCCTCCTCCTCCGCCCAGATCTGGTCCAGACGGCTGGCCAGGCAGGTCCGGGCGGCACGGCCGCCGTGATTAACAGCTCTGCGGCTTCTGTGCGGCCTTTCATGTTCGCCGCCTTCTCGGCCGGCCGGTCGGCACGCCCCCGGGGCACCCCCCCC